TGTGAAGGATAATCAGATCAATAACTAATCCGGCACTAAGGGAAATGGGTTTCTCATTAGTTTGTGGATCACTTACTGTATCTGCCAACTATTGGATCGATGTAGCTTTACATAACTGTAGTGTAGACAAACATGTGTCGTGTCATACTTAATTGGTGCGATCACTTTTCAAGCGCAAAATACTCATTATTTATTAGGCTTCATTATTCCGGATGTTTACCTGTTAAATTCACAAAGCATTCATTTGTAGAACACACACACACAAAAATCGTTGCCTTAATTTATTATCTTATTAAAATGCAGTCTTTGCCGTCACCTTAGCAACTGCTTGAAAAAAGGTGGGCGGTGAGGGGGCAGAGAGACAAGTCTGTGTGTGCCTGAGAAGAGAGAGAGGGGGGGTGGGGGTGGGGGGCTGACAAATGAAACTTGCAGTGCTCCCTTGCCATTTGATGGAAAGTGAGATTTCAGATCGTTGCCAGAAACAACGTTCATTTGAAAGAAGATGCTGATCTTAATAGTAGAAAATTGAGTCAGTTTCCTGATTTAATAAACACTGCGGTTAATAAGTGTGAACCTTCGTGTCATACAGTAATACACATTTGCATAAACGTGTAGAACTACACCGATAAAAAATATGGATCTTGATCATAAATGTAAGGGGGATGCATTTTTTTTTTTCAATGGGAAAATTAGTTGCAGTTTATTTTACAGTAGGGCACTTATGTGTACTTACTGTGTACTTAAGGGTTTAGGAGTAGGTTCAGGATTAGTAGTTATTACCACATTATTGTAAATATGGTCACACTTTAGATTAGTGTCCAACTCTCACTATTAACTAAATGCCGAATTTCGCCTCAATAAACTCCTCCTAATTACTGTTATTAATAGTTAGTAAGGTAGTTGTTGAGTTTAGGTTTTGGCTAGGATTAAGAGATATACAAAAATGCAGAATAAGTAATTAATATGTGCTTCATAAGTGCTAACAGCCAATATCTTTATATGAATGCTAATAAGCAACTAGTTTATGACAATTGGACTCTAAACTAGTGTTGCTGTAATTATGTATATGCAGAACTGGAGTTTTAACTGCTACTGAAGGTGTAAAGTGCTGCTGAATTTTATTTTATTTTATCACAGCATTATACTGATTTTATGATTGACCGTATGCGTAAACACCGTGGTTTTGTTACTCTATTAAAATATTGCTGTTTATTGTGGTGGTCCAACATGGCAACATTGGCTTAAGCAGGGGTGTGAGTTGTTTGTGCAAACCAAGGGCTCAGGGTTTGGCCAATGGTGTAGGCTAACTCGGGCACTTTTATTTGATTTAATTTTTTCATTTTGTTATTATTTTATTATGTCAAATATTATAACATGCTGATTTGATGTAAAATGTTGAATGATATTATAACGTGTTGAATAGTTGACTCTATTCATCTTGGTGAGATGAATGGAGTGAAGCAAATCATTTCAATATTTATTGTGTAAATATAAAATCTGTACAATTTACCAAAATTACGACCCATTATGAATTACATATAGTTGTCGCATCATTTCCACCATTTTTTTTTTACTTTGTGTACTTGTTACCAAGTCAACATTGACAATAATCAAAAATCAAGCTGTCAAATTATTTTAAAAAAGAAGTAAAACTATATATTATTTAATTGTGTATATTTATGACATGAAAGTACATTGATATGAAAAATGCACTTTCTGTAAACCTGCTTTGAAACAATATGTATTGTGAAAAGCGCTATACAAATTAATTTGAAATGAATTGAATGTAAGATACAGGCTATATGAAATTACCCTTACCAAGACAAATGATTTGCCATTTCATTCAAGAATCAAATATAATACAGTACATCATTTATGTGGTGGAAATGTTTATGACTAAAAACTATAAGTGTTGCAAAAAATTACAAATGTTACACAATTCTCCTGGTAAGTATGTTCAATGTTAGACATTGTTGGTAAAAAAAAAAACTGAGTGTATGAAAAGTGTTTTATAAGAGTTTTTTAAAAACATGTTTAAAGGGTTGAAGAAACACCCATCTGCATCATATTTATTAATTCATTCAAACTGGGCATGAACTACAGCTTCAGCTTCATTCATATTGCCTCTTGTACTGCTTTTAGTTCTGTTTTGTCCTGAAACTTGAATTTATTTCTTAATTTAGTAGTAAAGTACAAGTAGCCAGATGGTGGGCTTTGCAAATAACTTTACCCATAGATATGAAAAATAGCAGGCATGTTTTCTGTCATTTGTAAATATTGTAAATATCATTAATACATATACAAATGACAAAAAAATATACTATATATTATAATAGAGGAGATGTGTAACAACCGAGCTCTTAACCGTGGACCATCTATGGCCCATTCATGGCGTTTAAAGCCCAGGTGATTATAGCAAAAAATATGTATTTCTGAATCTTGGTGTTAAAGGTGCAGTATGTAATTTTGACAGCTATAAGTTGCCAGATTGAGGACACGCAATAGGAGCGAGCGCAATTGACAATGCCTGCTACAGATTTGCAAAATCACACTGTAGCACATGGATCTAATAAACTTGGGTACGACATGTATTTAGACTGTACAATGATGACACCGTGTTGGGAAAGTTCACTTTCTACATGAACTAGTTCAAAGTTCAGTTCACACATTTTAAAATGAACTAGTTCAGTTCATAGTTCATACTTCAAAAGCTTAACTAGTTCATAGTTCTTTTTCCCATATGTTACGAGTTTTTTTTTTTTAATTTGTATTATTGCTACAGTGCATTTACAACCACAGACAACAATTATTTTATGGACGGGTAGTTTGCACAGAAATGTAAGATTTTCCCATCCTCACCGACCTCGTCATAAAATCTGTTTAAATGACAGTGCGACACTGGTGGCTGGTGTTGCCGGATTGGATGTTTATTCGCTACATATTAAGGCCTGTTTACGTGTATTTTAGCCGGGTTTTCGCCTGGAAGGCTCTGTAGAAATCTGGCACCCTATTGTACAAAGTCAAACTGAGAGAGCGTCCGTTCACAGACACTAGAATGAACGCGTTCACAGTAACGTTTATCAGGCAGTAATACAGTAGGCCTGCGTTCAGTTCACGTTCGCCCAAAATATGAACGCGTTCAGGCACAACCCTGGATGACACCTATTGAATCGTATGCTACGAAACAAGTTAGGATAAAGAACCTCATCAGCATGTGTTAGTGGAAAATAAATGGAGCAAAGTAATTGTATTTTTTATATAGGGCTGAAAAAAAGAAGGAAGTGAAAGAGGAGAAAATAGACGCGATCATGGCTAAGGAAAAGAGGCCAACTTGGCATGTCAATTTTGCAAATGGAGCTTTAGGTAAGTAGTTTTAAGTTTTAGCACTATGTCTCATTGATCAACATGCCGTATCATTTTTATTGGCAAGTAAGTAGACTAAGTAGCGTTAAAGCGCTAAATCCAGCCCGAGCCCGTTCTCATCCTTTAGCGTCATATGTGACGCTATATGACAAAACGGCAAAATACTACGCACATGGCACCCTTTATCGTTAATATAACACGCGAACCCAAGGCGTCATAAATCCTTTAGCGTAATATGAGACTACCCTACCCTTCCCCACACCTAAACCTACCCATCACAGCGCGTGTTATATTAACGATAACGGTTACCATGTGCGTAGTATTTAGCCGTTTTGTCATATAGCGTCACATATGATGCTAAAGGATGAGAATGCGTTGGCTAAATCATTCCAAAATTCTGACACTGTCAGAAAACTATCGCAGACTATCTTTGGTCGCAAGTCTGTGACAATGGCCGTCTTTGAACCTCTCTTACTGTACGGAGTAGGATCAGCGTTTAGGAGCTACGACAACGGAAATCACCTCGATTGGCCATCTTTCGTCTGGGACAGCTCAAAATCGTACAATGTGTACCAGGCATTAGTTGATGAGTTGATTGATCCTCATTTTTATATGTCTATGAACATATAGCTTTTTAGGATGCCAAGGAGGTTTTAGAATTTGCGATCTCTGACCCAGTTTGTTTTCTGGATTCCATGGCTGTAATACACTGTGTTTTCCACAAACTGGCAACCCAGGGTGTCAAGATAATATTGGCTAAATTGGCACCAAAATAAAAATAGACATTCCGACAAGGAACATACATTTCAAAGCTGAATAGCATTGTTTTTCAGAAAAATGATTATGTGAACTCAGCATGTTTCCTTAAATAGCTGCAAACATATTATGGTATTTTTATGCTTCAGTAAAGAAACGAAAAAAAAAGTCAAAATCAACTGTCTTTGAGAAGAATGGGAATGCTGGGTAAAAATTTGTACACGTCTTGTTTGTTGCTACAAGTGGTGAAGAAATTACATAATTCACAGTTAAATACGACAAATCTAATAATTTCCGGCACAAAATTGTAACAAACTTTCTCAAAATACAACAGTGGTGTTATACATCCATGTGAAATTCTGTATATATGAAGAGATTTTTGGTCTGTAAAACGAAGGTGTTGATATGTATGCAACACAAAAAAAATATATAACTAAGTAAAATTAGCATATTGTACAAACATAGCATAATAGCTGTACATATTTTTTATATTGGCATGTACATTTTTAATCTAACTTGAATGTCTCACACTACACTGGATCCCGCACTTCCTGCCTGGTGTTGAATTAATAGGACTGCTGAAACGGTCCTTGGTCACTGCTGCACACTAAATCTGAATGAGAATTTGAATTCCTCTGACATAATATCACTCTTGCATTATTCATGGGGTGGCAGAGAGACAGACCGAGCGAGAAAGAAAGCTGTAACACGCAGTGGATGTGAGAACCGGAGAGCCTCCCCATCCCCATCAACAGATGAGCCCACCTGTTTCCCTATCTCTCACACTCTTTTTCTCACCTTCTCCCTCCCTCTGGTCCGCTGTCTGTCCTCACATCCTTTGGATCTCAGTGAAGACTAAGAGTGAGTTTCTCTCGGGAGAAGGAAGGAGAGGGGGCGGCATGCATGTTGTGTATCTGCATTCTGGCTGCAACTGTGCCTTCCATTCGCACTTAATCTGTCAAGATTTCTCCCCTGCTCACACATGAGATCGGTGCAGAAGTATACTGGCACTGGGAGGGAGAGAGCGAGAGAGTATGAGCGAGAGAGAGAGATAGAGAGAGAGAGAGAGAGACGCTGTGTGTGCCTCAGACTGCGCAGTGATGCCTTGGCAGCTTCGGGAACCAGGCGCACGTTCGTTTCAGTAATATCCTCTTATTCCTTCTTCCAGGCTTCGGAAGAGGAGATGCAGACCATAAGGTAAGCGGCTTCACCTTTCTGTCGTTTTCTATTCTTCTACCCCTCTTTTTCTCTTCCTTTTATTGATGACGCTCTAAATGCCTGTTAAAGCAGTTTAAAGCAGGACTGCAGCAGGAATTCACCCCCGTGATGATGTAGGAAGCAGGGAGAGCCCGCATTCTCCACCACAAAATAGGGGTTTACTTAGTTGAAAAATCTCCAGCTTGTTTTGAAAGCTCATTTGTTTTGGTTGGTTATCAATTTGACTATTTACACTTGCATTTCAGAAAGTGCATGTTTCGTTTCCCTCTTTCCCAATCATATAGATTGATCGGAGAATACCTGTAGAGAGATAGCAAAGCGCATACTGGCCATTCCCAAACTGAACTGCGCCTTTCCATTGGCTGGAGAATATTCAAGCTGTGCATGTGCTGTCATCAGATCGTTGTTCCCTAAGGCGGCATGAGAGATGGGGCCCGGGCAATTATTTATGAGCATGCTTGGTGTTCACTGCTGCTGCTGTATATTGTGGTATAGAAGTCATGCGGTGGGGAAAAGGGATGACTCAAGCTCTGTGGGAGAGGCTGGATGGATTTATTGGGGGTTTCCCCTCCTTTCCATGAATTATTAATAAATCACAGGGAGGAACAGAAATATTTCGAGTCATGCTGATGGATTTTAGCTTACTTGTCTTCGTGTTGCTAAGAGAAATGAGAAACTGCAAAGTAAAGGTGCTTGCAAGGACTTGGCATCTTTGAGGATGAGCACACAGTGCTCACAGTGGATCACTGCAATTGGCAGAACGGAGGTCCAACATTCACTGTCTAAACATTTATTTGCTGATTAAATTTACTGCAATGAATACATTAGAAGTTTAGTTTAGTGTAGTTTAGTTTATTTGTATAGCACATTTAACAACAATGCGAGTTGGCCAAAGTGCTTTACATTAAAACAATATTCGAACAGCATCAATACAGAAAACATTAAACACCACACCAAACCAAATACAAAATGCAAGACAACAGTAAGAAGAAGAACATCGGTAGAGTCAATCATCTATGTGCAATCACAGTAGGGGATGCATGTTTTAGGTACTCGTCTAGAACAAGGCTGGGCAACTCTGGGCAAACCCTCGAGCTCCAGTTTCCTGCAGAGTTCAGCTCCAAGCGTGATCAAACTCACCTGCCTGTAGCTCTCTAGTAATCCTGGAAAACTTGATTAGCTTGTTCAGGTGTATCGGTTGGGACTAAACTCTGCAGGACAGTGGATCTTCAGGGCCAGAGTTCAGAACCCGTTCTCTAGTATTGGTTCCCATGCCTGGTCCTAGAGTACCAACACTGCACAGTCTCTCTTATCTGATGAGTTGAATGAGGTGTGTTTGATTAGGGAGACATCTAAGGGCACGTTTACACCACACTGTAAAAATGCCTTATCTAATCAAGAGAATTGTGGCAACAGATTACAAGCAATATTATTAATTAAATTTATCAAGTTAGAATTGAGTAATAATTAATCAAATTATTCCTTAAAAGTTAACCATTTAAAATGAGTAAAGTTTACACCAAAAAAATATCTCACTAACAGACAGACGTCAAAGATTAATTAAGAACTTTTTATTTTATATTGCCAACATTGAAGACACCTGATGTTAACAAGCAGAATCACGAAAGGAGAAAACCGTCATTTTGAAACAAACCTAAAACAATCACCGATCACCATAATTATGACTTAAATGTATGTTTTTTTGGTTGTTGTTGTTGTAAGTTTTACTCATTTTAAATGGTTAACTGTTAAGGAATTAATTTGATTAATTATCACTCAATTCTAATTTGTTGACTTTAATTAATAAATTTGCTTGTAATCTGTTGCCACATTTTTTTTTTATTAGATAAAGCATATTAATTTTTACAGTACTAAAAATTTTGCATTTTCTGTGTACAGCTGACAACATTCTCAAAACGACCCCCTTCACAGGGATCTGCAAAACCGACTAAAACACTCATTCTGACAAGCCAGTAGTCGTCAATGTTACTTTGTAAAGAAATGCTACGCACCTATAGACTGAACACAATACGCATACACATCAAACCTGTCTTTATTTGAGTTTTTTTGTGTTTTCAGGCCCCCAAAACGCTGTTGTTGTGTAAATGAATGGCCAAAACGCAAAAATAATTTGTATGTATTTTGTTGAAAACCTTCCCCAAAATGTGCAGTGCTGGGGGAACTCCAGGACAACTGGTCTAGTATACGCAATGTTTTAAATTAACAGTGCACCAAATTATAATCTGTCAATTTTGATCCTGCCTGAGCTGGATTGAATAATTAACTATTCATTTGAATTGATTACATGGGAAGCAGTTGTTGGATAACTTCCATTAAAAGCTGCATAGATGAAGTTGCTGCATTGTGTGGAATAACCATATGTGAAATATGCAGGTCAGCAATGATTCTGCGAAGGTGATACATGAGGGGGTGGTGGACAGAATATGCACACATAAGGTGAAACACCAATTATCATCCCAATTTATTACAAATGGCCAATGTGGCCTTGACCCCTCAGTGCAGCAAATCTGATGTAACACACTGAAATCACTGCTTCTTGGTCCTTTTCTCTTCTTCTACGGATTAGGACTTGCACCATTCACGTTTATTTCAGATATTACATGTCAAATGACATGAAGTAACATTTGTTCAAGGCACCATATAAATAACTATAATAATATATTTGTTTATGTGTGTGTGTAGGGGGGTGAGGGGGGAGGGGAGGGGGGTGTGTGTGCATGAAATCTATTCAGTCTGGATAAAATATTTATTAATTATAAATTGGTATAGGTTAAAGAAAATACAACAGACACTACCATGATGCCTTTTTTATATTAGATTAATGAATTATGGGGAATGTGATTGGGAAAAAAAAATTCTTAATTTGCAATGTGTTTTTTTGTGGTAAAATATGATTCAGACATATTGTAGTGATATATATCTGCAAAATGAATGCATGCATAGTTAGTCATTTCAAAATATGGTAATATTGTTGTTTTGTAATAGTTTGGTATGTATGATATGTATAGAAATATATCACACGATGTGTATGAGAGTTGATTTCAATAACTTACAATCTAACAGAATTGGGGTTTAATGATTTGAAAAGTGTGTGTGGAAACACATTACGACAAGCGTTTTTGAAAAATATAATTATTTAGCAAAATTTTGAAATAATGCTACACTCCTGAATGTCATCAGTATAGTATTAACAATAACTTCTGATCAAATAAGCATAGATGGTATTCAAGACTGCCCAAAACAGTTGCATATATCATTCTGTTTGTTTCAGTTGATGTTGTTTTGTGTATTTACTCCATCAGTTGAAGGATATCTGCAATGACGAGGCTGAAAACAATCCATGTTTTGCAGCCTTGGGCTCTGATATTCTCTGTCTGTTCTGAAGAATCGTTTATTATAACATGTTTTAAATCAATCAGCGCTGCTATTTTTAACACGTGAGCTCGTCTGTTTGCTCTTGTATGTGTTCAAATGCCCACATGTTCAGAATTGTTCCCGTACCGTTCAGCCTGCCAACATTCAGCCTTGTAGGCTTAATATTTCATATCAGATCCCTGCCTCTCAGAGGTATTAGTGGTGTGTGCATGTGTATTTTCAATGGTTTAAAAACATGAGGAATGTGTAAATCAATGAAATTGTTGAATCTAGCGAAACTGTCAAGAATATGCACAACTTATATTTCACACCAAAGGTATATATAATAATAATGAGAAAAATACTAATATTTTGCTTAAAGAAAAATTTCATATTTTTAGGACTGTTAGGTTTTTTTTTTTATTGTTATTGTCATTATTTTTTTTTCACAAAAAAATTTAATTTAGTATTAATTCATTTATTTCGTTTTTATTTTGGTGTGAAATATCATCATGTTCCTTTTGAGTTGCTCATTTAACCTGTCCAGTGTTGGGTGTTGTAAAATACTAAGTACTTTTCCTTGAAAAAGTAAAATAAGGCATTATTTATTTACAGTTACTTCTGAAGTAATTGTATTAATGTTAAAAAGTACAGTATTTTCTTTGAATGTAACCTTCTTCCTTTACACACTTTGGTCAGTTGGGGAATAATTTGTTCAATTGTATATTGTTCATTTGGAAGAATCAAGTTTTGTGTCTATCCTTGTATTGTTCAACTGGTCGACGTTGATATAGGATTTAGAAAGTAATCCTTAATAAGTAATCCAATACTTTTTAGAGAGTAATTACATCACAATTGTTGTTGATGTAATTAGTAGCTTATAGGGATGCACGATTTTAGATAAATTGAGAATTTCAAATAGATTTAACGATTCTGAACAGACAACTAAACAAAATAATGTATTTAACTAGAGGATCTGACAAAAATGATAATGCAGCTAGTCTATTAATTAATACATCTGAATTAATTTTTTTTTTAAATGGTTTGACTGAGTGATTCAACAACTCATTCGTAAACACTTAATTGTTTCATCAGGTGTTTTGAACAAATATCTTGAGTGAATAATTCAAAGACCAATACAATTTTTTAACAGTCTATTGTCGCCACCTACTGGCGTAACCATGTAATCGATACAGTTGTTATTTGAAGCGCTGTGTTATTTTCAAAAGGTGATTTATTCTGTTTGATTTCTTCCGTACACATTAGTGTTTATTTCCGAAATAAACATTTTTATCCCAGTACATCTGTGATAATATGAATATATTCATAACAAAGAAATAACAATACTTTGTTGTTGAAAATACTATTTGTGGAGCAGTTTCATACTTAAACATGACAACCACTCTCTTTGGATTAGCGGCAGCACCGATGTGGATTTGAATGTGAATAGGCAGGCGAATCGTTATCTGTCACGATTCCTGTCTTGTGTTTTCCTTGTCTTGTGTGGACTTTAGTTATTTCCTGTTTCTGTGCTATGTTTTGTAGTCCTTTGTAGTTTTTCTTGTTTATAAGTTTCCCCAGGTGTTTCTGGATTCATGTTAGGT